TATATATATATATATATATATATATATATATCACGTGCATCAGTCGAAAATTGATTTTTTGCTGTTTTCTTGATTCTTGAGTTTGATTGCATTTCGACGCTCTTACTGCACTCACCCTGTACTCAGTTCTGGTTCCAGTACACTGATCGAGTGTTTTTTCCATGTCCTTGACGCAGCTTCCTTCAACTACCTCACCTGTTTTCCATTTATAATTTCAGACTTATAAAATATATAAAAACAATTCTATGCGATAGAGTGATGAATAAGACCTACTTTGATACCAATTGCTTTAAAGAGCTGTGGATGTCTCAAAGGAAGCTCAACCATTTCTTTAATTTGAGCAAGCTGCTTGCGAACACCACCAATATCGTCGTAACCAACATCTGCCACATTCTCTTCTTCTTCTTCACGCTTAATTGGTTCACCCTCACAATGAATAATTGTATCCGGCGCAACAATGCAGGATGGTGACGGATCTGTTTCCACAACCTTACAAACAGAAATAGTCAATTACACAATTTATAATTTAAAGTTTTACACTAATCTCAAGTACAAACAAGAAAAAATTATATATAACCTTGAATTCAACATTTCTCATGGCCGCATTAACCGAAAAAAGATCTCCTTTATGAAGCGGTCGATAAGACTCCACAAAGTAAGGTTTTAAAAAAACTTCGAACAAATTACTGAAAAAAATGGTATTATGATATTACAATATTTTACATTGTCTGGAATGAAGGTAATTTAATATCGAACCCCATTCCAAATTAAAAATCTTCCCTATAAGTTTCCTAAATTTCAGCAGAGCTCAGTAATGTGTTTCTTCTGTATACAATGGGGAATTCATCCGGTATGAACCTCCACAACTGCAACACTGGCACACATTTCTGCCAGTTTCAGGACCCCTGCACGAATCATCACTGCTCAGAATACGATAATTTACAGAAACAATTCAGTGATCGGCTTGACAATGTCAAAAAACTCACCCCGTGAGGCCAACAACAGTATCATCAATAGGAAGTACGTGAACGCGTTTACCGTAACTGATATTGGGAGCTGCAGTGATGCTACAAAAGTTACTTAACACATCAGTATGGCAAGACGCAAAATTTGGTAGCCGGAAAATAATAATTTTTTTAGATACCAGGCACTTGAGATTTGAAAAAAGCCAAACCTTACAACGTCTCCCAAACGTATGCGTAAATTATTGCGAACTACTCGATTCATCCGGATTTTATCATTGGGACATGTGTCGTCAGACAGCACGATACATACTGTTTCCTTACGCTTTTTCCCTTTTAAAATTACCGTGTCACCACGAAACAAGTTTAACTCGTCCATCTTTGTCTACAAACCTCATGTTTTGCAGATAGCATCATGTAATTCATAATTCTGAACCCTAACAAAAACTTAAATTCATACTTCTCAAACACTACGTGTTCAGCAATAATAACCATACAACACTAATAGCAATGCAGGCAAACATAACAATAGTGACGATTACTAGAGTTGTATGAATTCTTATATGTTAAATGAATGAAGACACTTATGCCTCTAACACAATTATTTTGCATCAGTTTCATTGTGAGCGTACCTGAGATAAGCCAACGACGGAATTGTCATCACTGATCGACTGATCAACAATCAAACGGTTGGGTTTGGCCTTATCTTTCAAAATAGCGGTCGCAAGTTCGTCATTCTTCTTCACTTTTTCATCAACAGGTCTAAAATTCTTTACGCAACTAATTTTGCTATCACTTAATAACAAAGTCTCACATACCAAAACGTCTTCTTACTCTTCATTATGAAACAAAACTTACGTTGGGATCGCAGCCATTTTTCTACCTTTCCTATCCTGGAGAAATGTTCAGAAAACCAATGAACTTTTTAACTGAATTATTTGAGCTAGAGAAATAAATACACGACGTTTTAACGATATTGACGACCGCAATTATGCAAAATGAATAAAGTAAGAAACCTATAGAACAATCAATAAACGTGAGGGCAGATTACAAAAATATGAAACTACTTGGAAGCCCTTATTTGAGATTGCCTTTTTCTTTACATATAAGTCAAAAATATTCCAATTGAAAACTAAGATACAGAGATGGTTAGAAGTAACACTGGCTATCAGCAGAACATGTAAGTTAAACCACTAATAAGTTGCATTGTTTACAGCAAAAATCCATGAATGCTGTAGTCCTAAGACTTATCAACACTTCTTGCACTTTCTCTTATATTCACAATGAATTAATGTCTATTTTTTAGAATAATGTTATTAGCAACGACAAAAATTAACCAAAATTAATTGAATACGACTGTTAGTTAAATCGTAGGGTAACAAACTTAAGAGCACAACACCAAACTTCCCCACAGACCTCAACCCCACAGTTGCCTGCTGCCACTGTCCCAAAATTAAAACGACTCACTTCTATAATATTCATTCAATATTTAACGACGCGTTGGCATTATTTATAATGAAGACTATTATGCAAATTTCAGGTCTCTTTCATTAAAAAGAATACAGTGAAATCATTGCTTCTGATGAGCTTTTATAATGAACGAATGAGAAGATCTACCTGTCGGCAAATTACGAAGCGTGGAGCAGGTTTTTTTACATTTTAAAAAGTGAGTGATTTCGATTTTTAGTAAGTATATCAGTTTTCAAATTCCTTGCATCCTCATGTCTCTTTTCATGACGAAAACTTTTCTTCGAAAAGAGAAAGCTAGGTTTTTTTCTTACCTTGCAATTACATTAGATTTTAACAAACAGTTTATTAGCCAAGCTAAACTTTTTAATTGAACTTGCGCTGACTTCCTGAAATTTCACGGCTTGCAGTGATATGATTCAATCAAGAACGAAATGACGATTGAGTGAATTATTTTCAATAATTTTTATTATAATTTTTTTGTGACACTAAAAAATAAGTGAAAAAAATTAAGCAGTCATAGATACTTGAGATCATTGACCTTGCATTCTGATTATTTTTTCATAATATTGTCTTTGTCTTTTATTAGTTTTCCAAGCGATAATTTAAGGATGTGAGTCATATGTTGCTTTTAACTTTTTTGTTGATTGGATCGTAGAATCGTCCAATAATCTGAATAATATTTGATTTTCCACAATAGCTTTAATCTATTAGAGCAAAGAATTATTGCTTATTTTTTATCTACTCGCTGTTATTACAAGTTATTTGTGAAAAAATCAAAGTTGACAGCAATGAAAAGTCGACAAGACTAAAGAAGTCATAACTAATTCAAACGAAGAACGCAAAAAAATGATCCATGCAGTTTAAAAATATGATAAAAATAATATATTTTCAAAATTAGCATTAATCGCTGCTGCCAGAATTTGTCTCTCACTCCCGTTTTTTTAAAAATAAAGTTAGACGTAGAAAATTCCCACTAATTTGGCAGTTTCATATTCACGTTATATCTTTGATAATTACCTAAATGATTTTTGCTTATCACGTCTTAATTTTGTTCCAGAAGATAGATTAGAGGAAAAATTGTTGACCGTAGAAACAATTTTTTCTTTGCCTTTTGCCAACTGGTTGTTCATTTTCGGCTTTCAAGGGGTATTTTGAGAACCAGGTTAGCACTAGCGTGAATATCATCTGAGAAATACGCTATCAAGTTCATGAAGGCCATATTTATGATTCAGTAATTTCCTAAAATGTATTAAATACAAAACTCAACAATTGAAACATTTTTCATAAGTTAATAAGTGTTTCAGGAGTTAACTCACAATATATTTTGTCCCGAACTTTACTACGCTAATTTTTAAACGCAATGAGAAAGTCATCAAAGCCTTTTTGATCAGAAAATTGGGGATTTCTAGATTTGGAGATTAATCTGTATTCAGTTTCAAAAGATATTAAAACCAGAGCGGAAAAGTAAATTTTATCAAAATAATTGCGATGGAGTGGCACTGTTAGCCTCATCAAGTAGTAAGCAATATCGATATGATGCAGCAAAATTTAAAAAAATAAGTGATGAGTGAAGGGCTCAAGCAAAGGCCTTTAGGATGCCACGTTGTAAAGATTTCTTTTACTGCTTCTGCATTATACTTTGCAAAAATAATCGCGTTTCAAATCTTGCATTGTTTTGTGATTACTGATAACTTCCATAGCAAGCTGCATATAATCTTTTGTTAACAAGATCTAGAACAAATAGCACTGGAGTAATTGAAAGCTGAGAGGGTTTGGAATTAGTTACACTTGGTGGTCTCTTGCCAACTGTCATTATTTTTAAACGCTTTTTCAGGTATTGAGGAATAGCAGTCAGTAAAAGCATCAATGTTACCGAACATAGAATTCCTACTGGTGCCATTTTCGGACTGCACTAGAAGGCAATAATGATTCCAGCAAGTACTGATGTCAAGGCTTGCAAGACATCTGCATATTCAATTTACTAGTTTATTAATATTTAGTTTTCCGCTTAGATAATGCAAATGAACATGCCTTTATCAGTGGCAACATGAATACTGCGCATCCGTAGCTAAGCAATTAAGCAAATTACCAGATGATCCCATGTAACAAAATACTAGCTCTCTTATTAATAATTATTTACGTTATATAGAAAACTAAATCATATTGTTTAACATTATACTTGTATCGCATTATTAGTTTTATAATTTACAATGGTAACTTTTAGCACTTCTCATCGGTCTGTTATTGGGTACGTTTTTGACTACCGCTTAAAAATTTTCATTATTCACTTGACTGGCGATATTAGTAAATATTGAAATATGTAATCGCTTAGTTAGTGATTCGCCTACTTTAGCAAGCAAGTTAGCTAAAGAAAGTAACGACCTCACAGCTAATACCAAGGATAGTCAAATGAATGAAATTGATTGATGACTCATACGAATGTTCTTTAGCGGCTGTGTTGCCGGGGACTTTGAAATAATTTCTACAATACATCGGAATTGAACCAAAGAATCGCTGGTGAGATGGCAATTCATATCCGGAACATTGAAAAGTGACAGGAAAAGCTAGAAACGAAAATCTTTTGAGTATTGAGAATACGACAGCAGACAGCACAAAATGCATCCGTGACGCGATTAGACTGGCTTCTTTTATCAGTTGTCTAGGCAAAATGAGAGAATGCAGCTAATGGCAGTTTCAGCTTAAAATCTTGAGCTGTTATTTCCGAGCAAGTTCGTCTATTACATTAATGTCTATAAAGAAGACAGTATGCTTGATGCTATATTTTGTCAGTGAGAAAATTTAAAACTGCCAACTTCCATGCTTGTATTTGGGAGCCCGTGAAATTTTTGCATTTCCAGAACAGTAATGCGATTTAAATAATAGATAATTTTAGACAGATAATTTTGTCAGCTTAAAAGCTGCTAAAATTAGTAGAATTATATGTCTAAAATTAACCATACAGCAAACACTGTGTGCTGAGTGCATACTGAGTATCAACGGACAGTTTTGTGTCTTTAGAAAATCAATATTCTGCTCTAGTTATCTCAAGAATTAAACATTGTTGCTTTCTCGATACTTGCGCTAATACTAGCTGTCTGTACACTCCATCATGTGCCATTAATTCTTCATGAATACTTTAACATGACATGAATACATTTGAGCACTTGAATTGATTGTTTCATAAATTAAATAAATATAAATCTATTTAAGCGATTTTTTCTTTTTCCAAAACAGTGATATGACTCATATTACCTCATATTATGAATTGTCGAAAGACGATGCGCCATAACAATCATTGTGTGTTCCGCACTTGCCTCACATAAATTTATTTTACAAACAGAGGTGATTTATTTGCAATCCGAATAAACATGATAATTTAGGAGCTTAGTCAAAGAGCCTTGCACAACTTTTTAATTTTCATCATCTAATGCACTTGGAGCTTCATCAAAGAACAAAATTTATGGGTTTCTTGTCAAACATTGAGCTAAAGCAATACACTACTTTTGTCCACCAGACGATTGTATACATCTCTCATCAATACATGCTTCAATACACTACAAGTAAGTGATTTTTAGCTTTCATTCTTGCAGAAGGACGAAAGTTCGACAGAGAGAATAAAGATGAAATCACTTGGAGAAGTTCCTGAACGAAGTCGTGAGCATTAGCTATAGTGCAAAGTCGTGCCACATCCTTTACTTGATATCTTGTTTTCCTTAAAACTCCTTGGAAAAATTCAGTTTTCATAAATTAAATTTTCGAAAATTGTCAAATAATAATTTTGTTACAATTTTTGTTCGTTATTTATAATTATGGCTTAAAAATGTAATTTTTAAATGTATTGTCATGTCGTAAGTTTTCTTCAGTAGTTGTCGCAGATTGTCGCAAAGGGAATTCATCAACACTTATCTAAATATATTGGTTTACTTTTTTTTAAATTCCAATATGAAAGCCTTTTTTATATTACTGCAATAAAATATGGTGAGTGATTGAGTTTGAGCAATATGTAAAGAATAATTTAAAACAAAAATTGCTGAAAGATGTCTTAAAAATAATTCCTAATTTCATAAGTCGCTTCCAGCACTCGACATTTCCATTTTTTTATTATGAAATATTATGATGTGGCACGACTATAACAGTCAAGAATTAAATGATCACTACTGAAGATATAACAGTCGAGAATTAAATGATCACTACTGAAGTCAGTAGATTTCATTTTTCAAGGTTTTTTGACCATTTGCTTCGATTAATTTTACAAATAGGTGCTTCAAGACTTCACGCTTTCTTGATTGTAAGTTGCAAAAGCAGTGAAAGCAGTGTTGTTTTCGTACATCTACTAATGCCACAGCTTCAGTCTTTTTAATGTTGTAGAATTCGAGATTTTTAACACTGATTTAATTTCCTTATTTTTAATGTAAACTGCTGAATCTTGGTTTAAAAAATTTTTGGCATTAAAAAATTAAAAGTTCTAATTACTTTTCTCCATCAATTTAGAAAAAGACATTTTTCTTATAATTAACCCAAATTCATAAGTACTCCGAAACTTTAGTTCCACTTGCTCTGTTCATTACTTTGAAATTCATTCCTTGTGGAATTTTTTCATCGAATCGTGTTGAATGATGAAAATGAACATACCTCAATTCAGTTTCTCCTTTCAGATTTATTATAATCAATCTGAAATTCCGCAGTCTACTTCTGATGTCTGGAATGAAGGCAGTTTTCTCTCATATAAACAAATTTTCAACCAATATAGTTTCCTAATACCATTTTTGCATTCTTATGACAACATTCGTACAAATGTATTTATGTTTGGTTATAAAGTTACCAAAATTATACCATAATAAAAGTGGTATAGATTACTTGAATTAGAGAAAATTATTAAAGATGATTTTTCTTTTTCTGCAGTCATTTCTAATTCAAATGCAATGATAAATTTGTAAGTGATTGCGACAAAGCCAGTGAATTCCAATGAAATCCATCACTACACATGATATGTAATGATTTAATCAGAAATAAATAAATGAGATGATACTTTGTTTCAGATATAGCTTACGTGATTAGTTACTTCAAAAATGGATGCAGCAGCATTTCGTAAACTTATGACATCAATTTGTGATGCAGCCATATCCAATGCTATGGTACCGTTTATCATAACCAAAAAGGTAACAAGTATAGTATCTGGACAAATGAGATCATATAGGAAATTATATCCAATTTGGCAATGGTCGTTCTGCATCACATCTAAATTTATTTCAAGTCTGAAAAAAGTCTGGTAGAACTTGACTATTGGACATAAATTACTCAATAACTGTTATGTACTACTTGTCATAAGTTCCCAATAATCAAAGTGAAACGTCTATAACGACAAATAATGCATATTAAAATGGCGGTTATAAGTGTAATGAATAGCGTACTATTTTTTCAAAAGCGTCAGCTTATGGCATACATAAAATAGTATGTGGGTCATAAGTTGACTCTTCATTGAACTTTTTTTCATATCTAAGGCTCATTTTTAATCACGAATAGATCTTAATGGTTATATCTTTGCATTACATCAGTACTTGAACAATGGTCGCACGTAACAGTTTCGAAAACGCGATTTATTAAAATAGATAGTAAGTACGCTATTGCTAGCAGATATGACCATAAAACATTGAACGAGAATGCATGAGATAACAAAAAAGAATCAGCTTCGGGAAAGAAGTAGAAAGAAATTATAGAGGAGAAATACCGAAAACAGTGATCATAAAAGCAGTGATAGTAAATAAACACTGCAACTTCTCCTTGATCAATATTTTTTAAATTCTTATCACTGCTGACTGGACCTTATCTGCTCTACCTTGCTTACCTTCATCAAAAAAGTTGCAAAGTACTCAAACTGATTTTCCAAACTTTATTATTACTACTTTCGCTTTATTTTGTGCCAAATTGTTAAAATATTTCATTACATAAGTAAATTAAGATGCAAAATAGTTTTTGAAGAACTTTGTTAGATCTTTATCAATGAAATCCCTAAATTCATAATATATATCACTTTTTTCTCATTTTGCCTACAAAATGCAAAAATCTTAATTATCTATATAGATAGTTCTGTATTCAATTATAACACTGTATTCTACAAGTATTGCAAATTATTAAGGAAAATATTATTTACGATCTTGGAAAAATATTTCAAAAAAGATAGAAAAAACAAAAGTCAAGATTTTAATATCTTTGCTCCCTTTGCATTTACTTGAAAATTACCTGTTTCTATTTTTACAAAATAAAAACATTCTTCAGTTTTGATTTTATTCTGTTAAAGAATTTGCGTGAATTGCAATAGCCTTACCAGTAAATAGTGGAGAAAAGTAGTGGTGGAACGTTTAAATTTACATAACTACTTTTATGTAAATTTCTTCATCAAATGTTTGGACGAAAAAGCTCATTTCAGATATCATTTGTTATGTCTCATGCAAATGGAATTGGTTAAATCGAAGGCAGGTTGGGTAGGTAAGCATGAAATTATGATCACAAAAACAATTTTTTCCTCATAACGAAAGGAGTTTCAACTTTTCGTTCTTGCGCAGAAGGTATAATATGAATGTTTTTAAAAGATAAAAAGTTCGTTGGTGTTTCTTAGAAAACTTACAGCCATGGCTGACAAAAATTCTCTAACGCAGTCAAACCCACTGTCAAGCTACAACAAGCGAATGAACACAGATCATTTTTTCTGGTCTACAGATTCCTATGTAATCAGTGAAGTAAAGTCCCAACTACTATTGCTGTTAAATGCTGATCTTAATATCGTTTTACCCAAACTCCAGCAATGAAAGTAGTAAACAATGTATTTAAATGGTAGTTGTAGTGAGAATTTTTTATTTGAGAAATGAGTTCCAGAAAAGAATTTTTAAAGACCGGATATTTAATCCGTCATTTATTTTTTTCATTTTTGCCAGATATTTGTTTGTCACAGATGGAGTTAAGGATTATCAATAAAGTGGTTATGTATTAAATGTTTCAGGTGGATGATCAAAAGGACTTCTCATCTGAATTTGACTCAAGTCTTGAGAAAGATCCAGAATTCGATAGTAGCCGATTAATTGTTGTAGATAGCAATGAGTCATTGTCGAATATTGCTAATTACAATAAAGGTGATCACAAATATCAATCTGATGGTGATGTCAAGATGCTCAAATCTAATAATTTCGATCAAGCCATAGTAATATTTGATTTTTCTATTTTAAGGTATGAAAAATTTTTGTTGGACATGGAATGCTACCAGAATTTGTTCCACCTATGACAATGGAAGTCATTCTTTTGCTAACAATTAACATAATCTTCATTTCAGAAACCTACAAATTTTTTGACTATGAGCCAGAAGTCATTGTTAACATCTGCATCATCCCCAGAAGGTGATTCAGAAAGTGAGTTAATCGGCAGAGCTTTAGAATTAGCTCAATCATTATTTGGGCCTGAAACGACGATTGTAAGGACATTCCAGGCTAATCCTTTGCAGAACGAATCTGATACGGATGAAGAAACAGGCCAGTTGCATTGAAGAAATTAATTTTTATTTACATGGAACTTTTTGTTTTAGGCTGCAATTTAAAAATCTCATTCAGTAAAATAAGACTTGTTTGTAGACCTATATTTGATTTTCTGAAAAAATCTGTGCCTTAATTTGATGCCAATAAAAATATATTCGTTCAGTTTTCTAGAAGAGTAATTTAATTAATTGACTTTAGAAGACATAGTGACGAGAAGAAAAGTAAAAGAAATCGATGAAATAAGGAAAGATGTGAATATTTCAACAGACAACAATAATACACCCAGGAATCATGATATTACACCCACATTAAGTGCTCAAGCGTTTCTTCTCAATCGAAGCGATTTTACAGCTCTTGAAGTCATTATTCTTCAATTTAAAAACTATTTCTATAGAGAGCATATTTTTATGATTTCATTAACAATCCTGTTTTATAAAGATTATTCACCAACACTGGATGCAATGATTGGATATGCTAAACTTCTGAATATATTATGAACATTTGAAAAGCTTGCTATATAGAAGTGATTATTAGCAAAACTTCTTGAATAATTATTATGAAGCATTATTTTTAGCTCTATTAACGGAGCTATTCTCAAAACAATGTGACAACAGAAATATTTTATGAATATTTTAGGTCTCCAAAAAAATACTCTTCATCAAACTAAACACATTTATTCTTGCAGAATATCAAGTTTGAAGCGCCAGTTTTTTTTTAAACATAGATTTCTTTCACATTATTAATTAAGAAATTAATTAGATGCTCAAGCTCAAATTTAATTAAAATTCAGGCTTGAGAAACTCGTCTTCTAGGCATAAAGATTATGTGCTTCTATCTCAAAAAATAATTTTACATGGAAGTGGTCGTATGAAACCAAATGAGGCGTGGGTTCCAGTTCTCCGTTAATACTACCTCAATATTCAATTTTACTCCAAAATTTTATAGCTGCAATAAATTGATCTTTTCTTTAACTTCTGATCCTTCAGCAGTCAACATAATGATTTTCAATATTTAACATTGTGTTTTCACTCGTTATTTCCAGGTTTTGAATGCTATTTATCGCGATGCACCATTAGGTGGGTCACGGTTTGTGAAGCCCACATCAACTACTTTTTCCTATATGCCCCAAAATGTCAAAGAAGGAAAAATTCAACTTAATACTAATGCTTGTAATTCTTAATGTTGCATTGAATGGATTTAAAATTTCGTTGCGTCGCTTTTGTAATATAATGATAATTTAGATTTCCACCAAAAAATAATTCTTCGAGATACATCGTGCGTTATTTATGATGTTATTTCAAGTCACATTTAGCAACGTCAACAAGCTTGGAATCAGAACAATCAGCTCGTGAAGGTGAGGATCAAACTGCACGCCAACAACAACATGATCTATTGGATGAATATTTTCATCGATCTCGTGAATTACGTCACATCAAAACTCCTTTCACACGTCAAGGACAACTTTGGGCTGATCAAAAATATTACGAATATTATGAATACTTATGCAAAGTTTACTCATTTTGATTTTTGCAGTACTTCTTTAAACTTCATGCAGAGATTTTTCTATCAAAAATAAAGTTTAGCAAAACAACTTTAAAACCAAATTTTTGACCCTGTTTCAAAGAACTTTTGCAGGGTATCAAGCGCGCTTTATCACATCCAGGCTCATTTGATTTGGATTGTGGTGCTGGTAGTGTACACACGCCGTCTAACCAACAAGTTAACGGAATTTGGTAAGAACTTATAATAATGATGTTAGCGTTATCTCCTATGATTTTCATTATTTTTAACGAAGTCCGCTAATCATTTGGTTTAAAATATGTGTACTTTTTATAACCTTAATTTACTATTTACTTCTGCTGGTCATTAATCTAAAAGTAGTTAAGAATAGATAGCATTTATCATTTGAGGAAGTTAAAAAATTGTCATGTATAAAATTAAATACTGATACAAATAGCATTTCGTAATACTTTGCTATTAATGGATACTCGTGATTGGTTTTAGTGACAAGTAACATCATGCAATCATTTTGCGATAAATATTTATTAATGATTAATTTGGTAAGAAAAATCAAAAAGGAACATCTGTAATAAATAAAGAAAGTGATAATCTGATTAAATTTTAGCCGAGCAATGAAGTCTAATCTCTATTACCAGTATAGCCCAGGGCCTGAAGTATACTCAAGGAAAGTGTTCGTTGGTGGTTTACCAATTGATATTGATGAAGGTGCAGTGTTTTAAAATTACTTCCAGTATTAAATTCTATTTTAGTATAACCTCCTAAGGCTTTGCTTGAATTTTTCAAGCCAAAATTAATCTTGGTAATGAAATAAAATGCCAATGCTTTCAGATGAACTCACAGCAACATTTAGTCGTTTTGGCCCCCTGGTTGTTGATTGGCCCAACAAAAATGAGAATAAAAGTTATTTTCCACCAAAAGGTTTTTGAACTGATGTTCATTATGATGATAGTCCTATAAAAAAATTTTTCATTGACTCATTAATTACTATCGACTTATGTTTGCATGACGTTTCCTCAACGCAATTCCTTTGCTTTGCTAATATGCTCTCAAAATTTATCTCAAATGAGGTGGTATAAACTTAAAATTTTTAATATCTTTAGCTCTTAACGTGTGTGACACTACTCAGTATCGACTAATTTTTGTTCTGATTGTAAGAAATATGACTGACGTATGCTTAGTATTGTCGTACAATTTTGTAAGAGCACAGCTTTTGCACATTGCATATTTTTATTGAAAACATTTCAGTTAAATGAGATAATTGGAAAAATTAGATTTTCCAGGTTATGTGTTTCTCATTTTCGAATATGAAGTCAGTGTACGGGCTTTGGTACAATCATGTTTTGTGGAAGATGAAAAACTTTTCCTCTACATTTCGAGTCCCTTGTCACCTGACAAGTTGGTAAGATGACTTGTTTTATTATAGCTCAAATCTAACGTCAGCAATTACTATGCAATTCTGTTTGTAAATCAAAATTTGCATGCAATTCCAAATCCACTCTGTTATCGTCAGTTACCTTTACTTGCAATATTTTTTACCTTAGTCCAGTGCGGTAACAAAATTTTCAACTGTGAATTTGTCACTTTCCTATTTTATTTAGGTTCAAATTCGTCCATGGCGGCTTGCAGATGCTGACTATGTTGTAGAAGCTAGCATCCCTTTATTCGCGAGACGAGTTGTTTTTGTGGGAGGTGTCCCGAGACCCATCAAAGCAGGTACTGCTATATATCAAGCAAAAATTACCACTGATATTTTTTAACATATTTTTGATGTGCATTAATTATTTCAGTAGAATTGGCTCATATAATGGACCACTTGTATGGAAGTGTAGGCTGTGCGGGTATTGATACTGATGTTGAATACAAATATCCGAAAGGTTATTATTACTGGTATTGCAAGTATGACCGTTGCTATTGCTATTACTTCATCACCAGCATAAATCTTAGATATGATTATATTAAAGCAGAATTTTCCAAGTTTACATTTCTTCTTTAGCCGTTAGTAAATGCCTAGAAAATACCACGTCATGTCGGGTAAGATTGTATTTCATCTCAGAATGCTAACAATCAATTGTATTTCACAGGTGCTGGACGAGTAGCGTTTACAAATCAAAATTCTTATATGAAGGCAATTACTGATCGTTATGTACAGCTAAGTCATGGGGAAGTAGAGAAAAGAGTATGTGACCTGATCTCTGTTAATTTTATTTAATGTACATATAAAAGAACTTTATCAGTCCATGAAAAATATTATATGTAAAAAATGACATTGACATGTATTTTAAAGGTAGAATTAAAACCGTATGTGTTAGATGATCAACCTTGTGATGAGTGCGGCGGTGAACGGTGTGGTGATCGCCATGCACCATTTTTTTGTCCGCAACTCTCATGTCTTCAATATTATTGCGAAAAATGTTGGACTACAATACATGGTTGTCGGGCACGTGAAAACCACAAACCATTAGTGAAAGAAGCTTGAAGAACATAACATCTTGTTTATTTTTGTTGCAAAACCATCAAATTATTAATTCTATATTTGTTGCTATTTATTGTCATATAAAATGATTATAAACTTGAGAAAGAAGTATCCCACTTGTAAATAATTATAGTTTTATTCATATAGTTTCCAATATTTGTCTTGTAAAATTGATAAATAGCTAATTAAAGGGTTTGAAAAACACATAATCACACAACTAATGCACTGTTTGAATGTGGGTACAGGAACAACTGAGCAGTCTGAATAGTATGTAGACAAGCAACTTTTTACTGATGTCAACAACTCATTGTTATAGTTTGAGAGGTATATAAGCAAAGTTCGCAAAAATAGCTGAGTTTTTATTCCAGATAATTTTTATTGCTTCCTGTGTCTTACTGTTATTTATAAGACTGTTCCTTCTGTTATCTGCAATGTAAAAAGATCTTCAAATCTTATAGTCCCTCAGCCTACTCAACGACTATAACTTGAATAATACTAGACTGCGCATTTCGGACTCTCGGTTGGAGTTCAGGAATTCTTCAAAATAGAAGATGACCAACCAGGATATTTTCAAACCACAGTTGTTCATAACGACAACAGACAGCAAACATTTTGAGAAGGGATTGTTATCTTAATTTACTCTTGGGAGTAAAGTCGGGTTTTTTTAGCGCTCTGTACTCCGATGATATAGAATTAAGGTCAAAATTAATATTTCCACCTTTAATGATATTACACTTTCCATCAGTACGGAAGCAATAATGAACCAGTACAAATGTAATGGAATAGTTTTTAAACTTATTTTTGAGTGATGTTTACAAAAAAACAAGTTGAGATCGAGAATTTTTTTTCAACCCAGCAATACAAAAATCTGAACAACATCTTTTCTTTAGTTCACTCCAAAAAGATTTTTGACCTCTGGGATTTAAAGCGCGGGATTGCCATATTGTCGTTCCCTGTGCAGTGAAAAGTTTTGTGCGCTTGTAAGGCAGCATCAGGTAGCACAATAGTGTTATGAAGACATAACAAGGTGAGAGAAGAAGCAATCGGGGTGGAAAGCAAGCATGGAAAAGAAGATTAGCTTGTTGCATTTCGCCAAATCCCTCATAGAACTGATTTTGGCTGGTGAAAAACTGGAAAGTAAAGGCTGAAAAGAGGCCAAGAAGTGTATGAGGAAAATCAATCTCATACTTGCTCTTGAGCGTGACAGTCATGAAGTGTTGGACATAGTGATAGAACGTGTGAGAGTTTACGAAAGTAAAATAAAAAGTTATGAGACCCCATGTGCATTCAAAATACAAAACGCCAGATTCGAGCTGTTCAGAAGACGGTTTTATAGAAGTCTGACCGAAGAACAGCCCGTAAGCTACAATTGTAAGGACTGAGGAATCAGGGACTTTCGGGGTACGATGTGGAACTCCGGAATGGGAAAGTATGATGATATCGAACACAACGAATATCTGGAAGAATGTTCCAGGTGATGAAGTGCATCATACTTTTCCTTCTGAAGCCGAATTTGGGAAGATAGTCTTCTATTTGCGCAACTGGAAAGCGGCAAGGCCTGATAGAGTTTATAACTTCTTTATTAAGAAGTGCACCTCCTTGCATCCAATTCTGTACAAAATAGTAAATAAGGATTTGTCTGGATTGAGAAAAACAGGATCCGTGGTTCTATAAAGGTACTACCTACTTGATTTTAAAAGGGGTCCCAAGTGAAGGCAGCGACTTAAGGCCAATAACTTGTATATCGAACCTTTACAAATTAACAACGAACTGTGTGGAACGCGTCATGCAGCTAGATGTTGCCATGAGAAAGCTGCTTCCAGACAATCAATTAGAAACTGTTACTCAGGTTCAAGGTGCAAAGGAACAAGCAATGTTGAACCTGGCGCTTTGCAAAGAGTACGGGAAACAGTTCTAAACTACGTAGTATGACATTAAAAAAGCATTCGATTCAATTAATCACGGATACCTGATTAATGCATTGAAAGGCTTAACATGCCATCGTGGATCAGCAGGTTTCTGAGAAGCATCACATTCAAATGGGGCAGTCGTAATGAAGAGCAATGGAGAAACTATGAACTGATACAACGAGTAATTCTCCGGTGATAGGCTTTCGTCGCTGCTATTCGTCCCGTGCATGGAGCCGTTGAGCGGTCAATAAATGGTACCAAAATTTGGCGGTTTAGCTAATCAAGGAATGTACATAACGAATCATCTGTTGTTTGTGGATGATCTCAAGATCTTTGCGATCGACGAAAATAATATGAAATATATGGCAGAAGAAGTTGAAAATTTTCTTGATGTGATAGGACTAGAAGTAAATTCAGCAAAGTCAGACACTAATACCGAGGTATGCGCTGATAAACCGGCGCTATTGGAAGGAACTCCAGGATATAAATACCTTGGAATAGTGGAAGATAGAACGAGTGCATCTACCCGTGAAAGCTAACGATAAAGTTCGATCATATTTACTGCTACAAATCCATGCTTTTTCAAGTTTCGAACTAAATCGCGATTTAATTTTATACTTATTTTAATTTTGTAAAAAATGTATTTAATTAAATCACAATACATATGATTAATGTAGTGCTGAACAAAGACAGTTGGAAATTGAATTATGATTTCAATAATTGATAATTTATGGTAGTGAATACATAATTTCAGCACCACTTATTTTATTCTAACTTATTCTTATTCGCAGCATAATTATATTTTTAATTGCTGAATTAGAATTTAAATAATTGCACTTTTGATATTTCGATGAAAATTTTGTTTTCAATCTTTAGAATTTTCAAAAAAAAGATGTAAACTTAATGCTGTACTTGTTCTGTTAGACACTTATAACAAGAAAAGTTTTTTTATCAAACTGACTTTAAACTAAATCAATTTACGACTGACACTTCAATACTTTTATCGTCATCTTTCTATTTTTTCTTCTCAGAAGGAAATTGCCTGTAATTAGAAGCGATTTATGATAATAAATAGAAAAAGAGTGCATATTTCATATATGTGGAAGCATCATAAAATGCACTGAATACATTATTCACAGATAATTTCCTAAATTAAACATTTATAAGTTAGTTGGACTTCAAGGATGCGTATATGCTTAGTTTCAAGAGAGTGAAACCAAACTGGCACGATTTGGAACCGAAATAAAAACAAGAGCAAGATAGAACAAATCTGAAGCTACCAAATTCAAAGATGGTAAAAAGAAATTAAAGTCATTGAGAGAAGAAGTAAAAGGAAGAATGAGTGTAGAATGAGTGTATGTCATAAATTTTGTTGCACTGCTTATAAGTATTTAATCGAATATTGCTTAATAGCTACAATTTACTTGACCGTAATGAATAACTACTAAAAACCATAGAAATACTATAAAATTGACTAAAAATATTATATCATAACAGTTCACAATCAAAAAAAAGAAATGCATTCTCAGTTGTGTTCATTTCAATTATTATTTGAACTGTTCTTTTTTTGACAATATTTCGATATTGAACGGTTAGGCTTATGCAATAGTTTGCAGAACCTGTTCGCTTCACGAGCTAAGCTGTAATCATCATGGACCAGTTTTTTCAGTCTTACATATCTTGAATCAATGAACAATAGAAGGTCAGAAGTCATTTGGAAAAAGAACGAATTATTTAAAATCTTAACAATTTTCAGATTTGAAAGAGCACTAAATTCTAAAATCTTCTAGAGATCAGCAATAATGGCAAGAAGTCCATTTTCATAAATATATTAAGGCTGAGTAATGCTTTCCTCTAGTTTCTCTGGACTATTTCTAACAAGATTTTAAGGCTAAATATTTTACAAACATATAAGATATTTCTGAACCGCTATTCCGAAATATTTTATAAATATTTTTATTCTAACTAAATATCTTAGTTTACATTCTTTCTGGCACTTTTTAAATTTTATAGTGAATATTAGCAAATTTATTATACAAACTTTGAGGATTTTACCATAACATACACCTTCAACAAAATTAACATTGCCAAAATAATAGTTGAAATTAAACAGTGTAATGTATAATTCACTACTGTTATTATTTTTACTGATATTATGTCAACAATAATAATAATTATTATTACAATTTTGGCATTACTTTAAACACCCTTTTCATCAAAGTAAATATTTGCTACATTCAGCAGATTTTGTCACCATTATATGTACCTTAGAATAAACAAAATAATGCTAATATAAAAAATAATACTTTAGAGCTTGAAGTAAGATAAACAGAAATTATTCAGTATTAGTCTGATGAGCAGTTGAAAACTAAACGATCAAATATGATTAATTTTTAAAATTTTAGGTTTTCTAAAAATGTCAATAACATGATAATTGAGAAAAACGAAGTTCCTATTGATTTTAAAGTCTTTAGACTTAATTTTTCTTTTCGCTGTTTCTTTACCATTTCTTCGAATCCATAATTATCTTA